TTAATTTAATGAACTTTATTTTTTTTATTTTATTTTTTTTTTTGCAATTATTGTCGAGGAAAGCTCAAGAGACTGGCCATTTTTTTTGTGCACAATTTCTTGATAACTTTAAATTGTAAATTTTTTTTTTTTTCAAGAACAAACCACTACCATGAAGAAAATTAGGAACCAAAGATCTCATATCCTCTATGAATAGTTGAAAGGAATTGTCCAGAGAATGGATATAAGTGTGGTAAAGGAGAATTTGCCCCCTAAAACAGCCTGCGTAATAAAAAATTCCAAACTTGCTATTTTTTTTTTTTCTTTTTTTTGGTGCTGCCGCATGCCCCTCTTTCATGAGGGGTAGTTTCGTAAATTTCCCTTAGCGTTTCTTCTTGCCAAGCAGCTGTGGCTTTTTTGTCCTTTAGTGGCTAAATAAGCCTCTTTTGTCATTTAGTGGCTAATTTAGCCTCCACCAACCTTCCCAAACTATGCCTAACTTTTTTAGCAAATATGTAGACAGATTGGAAAATAAAATCAAATATCATTGCTCCAAAATTGTAAGCTCATATTCAAAAAATAAATTGATTCTATTTAAAATTGTAGATTTTACAATTTTACACTTAGTAGTTAAAAAAGTGTGTATTGAAAAAACAATTAAATTAAACTCCAGAAATTACCCTCTAAATTAGAAGGGATAGTTCAAATACAATTATCAAATCGGAATCAAATTATTTTGTATCAAAATCCAATTATTTTTTGGTTATTTAATTTTTGTTTTATTTGACAGATTTCACGGCTCTATTTAATTTTTAAAGATAAGATTAGTTATTAATTCATCGTACAACTAAACCAAGCTAGTCAAAATAAGAGAAATATGGTGTCTAAAATTGATTATTTTAATTAGTTTTTAGTTTTTTTTTTTTTATGAATAAACGTACACAAAAGTAGAGAAAGAATAGTTAATTTTTTTTATAATGACTTTCTATCTTTTTGACTAAAATAACTAATTGCGAAAACAAGCCTAAGTAAATTAGCAATTGGGCCGGGCCGCACTGAAAACGCTAAAAAACTAACAAAGACGTTGTAGGATTATGTCTCTCGTTGGCTGTCTTTCCTTCTTTCCTGGGCAGGCCCAATACATTTAAGTAAATAAGCTTAACAATCAACCCAACACAATTCATGGGCTTGAAAATACCAATTCGGTGGGCCGCTCTGAGCCCAAACCAATTGAGAAGTGTAGAAGGGGAGGATCCGGACTCGAATATAAACAACATTGCTCGAATCGAAAGTCACGTCTTCTTCGCCCCCTTCCTCCACTCTCTGCACCGTCGCGTCGTCGGCTCACAGTTGGCGGCGAAGTCACCTTTTTTGGGAGACAGCGCTTCTCAATTTGTACAGAAAATGCGAACAGTACTCTCTCTCTCTCTCTCTACAGACATGCGTGTGTATATATATATATATATATGCATCTACATCTACGTTTGTGTCTATATTGTTCCAGATTATTTTTACTTTTATTTTTATATTTTTATTATTTGGTGCGAATGTCTTTGAATTTTCAGCTCCTAATAGCAACTGAAGAATCCCATTTTCTTCTTCGACTCTTCAAATGCAGCATCCTAACCCTAGACTCCATCAAGGACTGTATCGCTCAGTCCTTTGCTGACATTTTCTGTGGCAAGTCCAACATTGATTTTTTCGATCAAAGGTATCTAATTTTATTTATTTTTTAAAATTTTAATTTGGGTAAAAATGGCTCATTCTTGACTTAAACTTATACCAAATTGAGTTTTACTCATGTTTTTTTCACCCAAATCTGTATCAAAATTAAATTCTGAGTGCTTCCGGCTTATATCTGAGTTTGTCTATTGGAGCACTTTCTATCAAATAAATCTTTTATGCCGTGATTGGTTAAGGGATTTGGGAAGGAAAAAGGAAAATGGAGGTGAAATGTAAATAAAATATATGTACATTTTACTAGTTTCACACATTTTTTTCTTTTTCTTTCCAAATCACTCAACTAAACACAGCGTCACTCAAAAGGGCTGGAGTTGGCCATGCATTTTTTTTAATAATTAACTCTTACATATATTTGTGTCATCTCACAAATTATATATGTGTGCGTATCTAGGTATGTACTTGTAAATTTTCTTGTTTGTTTTTTGTTTTTCCTTTTTACAATGAAATCTGTAGCAGTTTGCACTACAACCCACATTGTGAATATTTGTAGGCACGATGGAGTACTGCCTTGTGCTCTTCAAGATATCATTGAGACTGTTGGTGATCAGTGCCAGCAACAGAATAAAGATTGTTTCTCACAAACAAAGGATTGCAATGATAAAAGAGATTTGCGGGCAGTTTTCAATGTATTGGACACAATGCTGAAAGATAGTTTGGAGCGTTTAAAGACGATGAGGTCAGGATTTTGATTTTAGATTTTTTTTGAAGTGGCTCATTGGAAAGTAGTAGATTATAGTTCTTCCCATTACAAGATGAAAATATTATGGAAGCTCTCAATTTTAATAATTCCATTTGTGCTAATTTTCAATTGATACGTTTTAAAATATTTATATCCATTATTGAGATTGTTGTTGTTTGAACTTGCACAAGTGTCCATGTATTTGAAGTTATTGTTGCTTAGTAGTGTAGTTTGATTAGGATGTGAAGTTATTGTTGTTGCTTAAATTGCCTACTTTGGTTAGAAGGTAATTTTGAGTTTGTGGTGTGCAATATGAATAGATTGTATAGATTGCACTTCAGTTTTTGCTTTTGAAGCTTTGGTAGGGATGAGAATTTTTTTCCTGACATCATGATTTGATGCACCCCTGGTGTTACACAATCCAAAGCCAATTTATGGAGACTACAATAGTAAAATTCATTGCAGAGCTTACTGTCAGGTGCTATTCTGTCATTTCTTAAATGCGTAAAGTTCTGAATCTTCTGATGTATTTTTGAATCAACCAACTAAAATTTGTATAGGATAAAACTACATGTTGAAGCTTGATGTGCTCCTTTTTATGGTTACTCTCGTGCCTTTTTCTTTTGTCTAATCAGTTACATTTTTAGTTGTTTTATACATTTGGTTTTCTTATTTGCAAGCATGGACACTTAGAGGTTCTTCACCCTTGTCATTTGGTGTGATTATGTTATGCCTGTAGGAAATTATTTAGTTCGTAAATTTACTGTTTCTCTAAACTAAATAGAGCGTTTCTAAATTCTTGTATGTCATCTCGTAATAGTTTCTATGAACTTTGTAGGGAAGGCATATCATGGGCACACATAGGCCTATGCGGTCGCACTTTTGAAGGAAGTTACACTCAGCATGTAGCCATTATTAGGGCTTTGTGTTTGGAAGGTAAGTTGGGAGCATCCCTATGGCTTAGGAAGAAGATGATTTGGAATGTTGTAATTCCAGATGTGCTTACACACAATTATTTTCTTAATGGACTTTGTAAAACTGGTGAATTGAAGAAGGCAAATTGGCTTGTTAGTGAGATGTTATATTGTGGTCCCAGTCCCAACTGTGCTACCTATAACACTTTAATGAAGGGTTATTGCCTAATTAATAATGTGGACAGAGCTCTCAATGTTTTCTCTGCAATGGTGAATTCTGGTGTTATGCCAAATAGAGTTTCCTGTAACATTTTAGTACATGCACTTTGCAAGAAAGGACTATTGGAGGATGCTAGGAAGCTTCTTAAAGAAATATTAGATGAAAATTGTGACGAGGGAAGATCAAATTTAATCACTTCTACAATACTCATGGATGGTCACTTCAAGAATGGAGATACGATGCAAGCTCTTGCTTTTTGGGATGAGATGCTCCAAAGGGGTACCCAAATGGATGTTATTTCCTATAATGTTATTATTTATGGATTTTGTTCGAGCCGAGACGTGACAGTTTCATATAGATACTTATCTGAAATGTTTAAGAGTGGCCTTATTCCCGATGTTTTCACTTACAATACACTTATAAGTGCTCTTTGTAAGGAAGGAAGGATTGATGGGGCTTGTTATATCTACAGTGTTATGTCAAGAATGGGGGTGGCTCCTGATCATATCTCATACAAAATGCTCATTCAAGGCCTCTGTATTCAGGGGCATGTAATTGAGGCTAATGAGTTTCATGTTTCTATGTTAGAGAATTTGATTGTACCTGAGCCTCTCATTTGGAATTCTATAATTGATGGCTATGGTAGAAGTGGAGATATTCAAAATGCTCTCTCCATTAGAGATCAAATGGTGGCATTTGGTGTCTTGCCCAATGTAGACACAAATTTTAAAACATGAAGTGTTTCAACACATTTCAAAATTTATGTTACAAATGTCCACTGTTTAGTTTTTGGACTTTGCCCAACGTTTTTACTTATAATGCATTGATCCATGCACACACAAAACGAGGCAAAATTGTTGAAGCTCATTCTCTAAAGAAGGAGATGCTCGTAAATGGTCTTTCTCCTGATTTGGTCACTTATAATCTGTTGCTAGGTGCTGCTTGTGATGTTGGACACATTCATTCTGCACTCCAATTACATGATGAAATACTGAGGACAGGTTATGATCCAGACATCATAACTTATACCGAGCTCATTAAAGGTTATTGTATGAGAGGTAAAGTAATGGAGGCTGAAAAACTTTTTGCCAAGATACAGAGGTCGTAGGCTCTTGAGTTCTCTAAGCTTCTCTTCTTCTTTCTTGTAACAATTTGTTTAGCTCTCAATTTCTTTCTCTCTCTCTCTCTTCTTTTTCACTTATGATTTTTCTGATCCCCCAGTCTTGTGTGATGGTCCTCATATTTATAGAGGGCCATCAGGTGATAGGAATGCTTCATCTTCAATTTGAATTTCAAATTGAATGATAACGCCTATTTGAATTTTGAATAATAGAGCTATCTGATTAATCGTATATCTGATTAACCGGATTGATCTTTTGGGGTTTCATCCTGTGTGGTGTCCTTGCTGTAGGCTCTACAGGTGTCATCTTTCGTAGGCTCCACGTGTCATTTGAACATCTTGAATAACGTCGTTAAGATACGACGTTGTTTTATTTATACACTTCAACGGAGCAAATTAATCATTTTGGGAAGTGATTACCTACAACAATCTTATTGTAGGCTCTATGTGTGTCATTGACTGTATTTGAAATTTAAACATAAATTTGGTTTAAAATTTATGTGCCAACACCCAATGTTTTTACTTATAATGCATTGATCCATGCACACACAAAACGAGGCAAAATTGTTGAAGCTCATTCTCTAAAGAAGGAGATGCTCGTAAATGGTCTTTCTCCTGATTTGGTCACTTATAATCTGTTGCTAGGTGCTGCTTGTGATGTTGGACACATTCATTCTGCACTCCAATTACATGATGAAATACTGAGGACAGGTTATGATCCAGACATCATAACTTATACCGAGCTCATTAAAGGTTATTGTATGAGAGGTAAAGTAATGGAGGCTGAAAAACTTTTTGCCAAGATACGGAGGTCTGGTTTACCCATTGATCATGTTCCATTTCTAATACTCATGAAAAAGTACTGCAAGATGAGAGATTTTAACAAGGCATTTGACCTTTATCAAATATGGCTTGGAAGGGACAAATAAGTGTTTGCGTTTGCCAATTATTAATGCATGGATTGTGATGATAGTCAGCTTCTGGAAAATGATGCCCCATAATGGAATGTTTGTTGCTGACCTTGTATCTAAGGGACTGTTCAGGAATTTCTATGAAAAACTTCAGGCTGAGTTGATGCTTGTTACTTTGTCCTGTTCTCCCTGGTTTCAGAAAAGGCTTGTGGTTTCTTCACAGAGGGAGAAGGCCACACAAGTGGTAGTCCAACCCAGTCGTATCCTCAGCTGATTCAATTGATTGAGTTTGTAAAACATGGCCTAAATTTCAAGAGTTATGATGGTGGTAGTTTTCTGCTTTTTCAGTGGTTTCGTTTAATAGCAGGTATGTGCTTTCCATTTTCAATTTATATTTCAGCATTTCAGAGTATTTTATTTTCACATTATATATTATAGACTTGAATGCAAATATTAGCTTGTATATAATTTTAATTTAAGAAAAAATTATTAAGTTTAAAGAATCTGTACCTTGAGATACCTTGTTTAGCAATAGGCTAATTGATTGGATCCACAAGTTATTTGAATTTTTATGTAATAGATTAGTATTCAGCTTACTGGAAGCAAGGTATATTAGATTGTGGGATAGTGTAAGCATTTAAGGTTTTGAAGGATGAAATTTTGCAGTATTGCGGAGGTAACGCTTAGGATGACTTGTAGATTTGGGATAAAGCTTAAGTTTGGAGAGATATGAGGGGTGTGGTTAGGTTGTTTTGGAGGGGGGGGGAGGTGGATTGTTGAGATATTGGAGGAGTGATTATTCCTCACCTGTGAAATCCAAAATATTCATATTTTATTTTCCTCTCCTATGAATAAATCTATTTTGAGAAAATATATAAGCTTACTACAAATTAGCAAGACAAAGGAAAGGGATACCTGCTTGTTCTCTTCAGAATGCTAATCTCACATTTTAGGGTTATGCTAATTTCACATTCTAGGACCATTATCAGAATTTAAATTTGACACTGCTCAATTTTGTCCTTTGAAGTATAATCCCAACTGGTTCAATGCTTCCAGTTAAGTCTTAAACCTGATCTGTTGATGCTGATGGTGCAGCATAACTGTAATCTGGCATGTTTATCCAGTCATGAGCCTTTGACACATTGTTGACCAATTTCAGACTTGCAGTTGGTATATTTGAACCTTCTCAGACAAGGCTAGCATGCAAATGCAGTGACTGGAGGAACCTAAAACGGAAAATCTTAATCCTAAAAATCATTCTAGTGCAATGTGTAGAACTCGTCGAGTACTATATGCTTGCAAAAAGTCACGGTGATCGGATATCGATAGCTATATGATCGTGTTAGTTTTTTGTCAGCTGTTAACTATAACACCATCCAATTTTTATACAAAGTTGATTTGATCATGTAGTTAGCGATATCTGATCAACGTGATTTTTTACAGGCATATAGTACTCGACGAGTTCTACATATTGAACGGTTCAAATTATCAAAACAAGACCGTGATGGCCCCCACTGGCCTATCATTACCCTTCAATTTAATGAATATATATACCTAATTTTCTTTTTTTTCCTTTGACAGCCCACTTTCATCAGTTCAGTACCAATCACGTCAACTGGTTGATTTGTATTAAAATATTATGTAAATTAATTTTTTTATATTTTTAATTTGTGAATAGTGATAATTTTTTAACTTTTTTAGTAATTTTTTGGCTATTTGGCTTTTTTTTAGGATGCCAAACCAGACCTCAGTCTCATAGATTTGGTTTTTTATCTATTGTTCGTATTTATTCTTCGAAAATGCTTATTTGTCGGTGTAATGTTTGTGTTGATGATTTCACTTCGTTGTGCTGATTTTATGATGTGCTGGTTCGAATACACGATCGCTGAAATGTAGTATTAATTTTGGTGCTGTGATTTGATGATTCTGTTAATTTTGGTGTTGATTTGATGATTTATGATGTGCTGGTTCGAATACTACTAGTTGTTATTTTGTTAATTTTGGTGCTGAGATTTGAAATGTAGTATTAATTTTGGTGCTGAGATTTGATGATTCTAAGATTTGATGATTCTGTTAATTTCGGCAAACTTGAGAGACGCCTCTAGGTGAAATAGTTCTTGATGTTTCCTTACAGATACTTCTGCTACTAATTAAGAGTCAATGTGTTCAACATTTGGCAGGCAACATTCTTGTGGCCATCTTTGATTACATTGTTGCATCTGTATGTGAAAATTTGCTAACTGTCTGTTTAGAAATGTGATGGCTGTTGGTAACACCCTATTTAGACACATCTCATATTCCGATTGGACCAGTTTTGACATTACTACAAAATCCAGTTTTCAATAATTAATTGATAGTCTCCACCCACTCTTCTGGAACCTACATTTTAGATACATTTGATTAAACGGTTGGAAACGTCAGGGTGAGGGGGTGGGGAACGGTTGTTGGTGTATCGTTATAGAAAGCATTTTAACATATCAAAGTTTGCATTATTCCTAAATTCCAGATTGGAGAAACAAACTCAAACTTAACAGTGATGCTAAGCGAAGCTTTTCCATTATTATTGGAAAGCTCTTTTGCATAATTTGCAAAACTGTCTATTGGCTTGTTTAATGCAGTAAACTAAGCTTTTATAATTTTATAATGTTTCACTTTTTTGTTTGGGAGTAGTCGAGAAGATGGACACCTGTGTTTGATTTTTTGCTCCAAGGCCTTTTTAAGGAATTTTGATCCCTTTCAAGGGTTTGGGACTACCAATGATCTATCTACCTAAATATCTAAAATCAAGATTTATCCATTTAGAATTTTTTTGCAAAGACCATGGGCAAAATAAAGATCAGAATCAACAGTAAGTGATCTGATCTGATCTATTCATCACATTTTCATTCAATCATTAGGCATAACACAATACGATTTTGATCTGAAGTTATTTGTGTTGTGTTGTGTTGTGTAGTTTTAGGATTCAGAAGGATCGGCCGTTTGGTGGCGAGAGTCGCTCTTCAGAGCGACAACGTTGAACTCGTCGCCGTTAACGATCTGTTCATTACTACTGATTACATGGTAAAAATCACCATTTCTCTCACATTATTGATGATGATACCCATCATGATTATATGTGTAAAATAAATTGATAAATTGATGTATTATTGATTGATTGTGTATATTACAAGATTGATGTGTATATATTTTGTACAAGAATTCCTATTATATAGGAGATGATTCTGGAGTAGGTGAGGAGTGAGTGGTGGAGGTAGGTTTGGTGGAGTGTAGTAGGTGATAGGAGTGAGTGGTGGAGGTAGATTTGGTGGAGTGTAGTAGGTGATAGGAGTGAGTGGTGGAGGTAGGTTTGGTGGAGTGTAGTAGGTGATTTACATTTACATTAACAATATGGATCGCTGAATGTCTCGTTGTTCGCTATTTTTTCTTTTTTTTAAATTTTGATCGGCATTTAGTGTAAGAAACGCATCAATCAGTCGCCATTCAAATTTCTGATCTATTGTTGTTTCGATCTGAACTAATCATCATAGATTTATGTGATCCATGATTCTTATTTTGGAGATGTGTATTAGTACGATATGTTTGTAATCTGAAACTATGTATTCGTTTCAGAATTTCTGTGATTTTGTTGTATTCATGTTATTTGCTTGGATGGAGTATATTTCATGTCTATATATAATGTTTGCATATGTAAATTCATGGAACTAGCCCAACCACGCTATGTGTTGTTGGAAATTTTTAGTTTCGTCCTAGGATGTGCTTTTGTCTAATCAAATGTTGTGAGAGAACTTTAATCATGCAAAATTGAAGAGTCAAATAGAATTCATGCCACATACATAACAAGCACATGTATATAGAAATAGAATGTGTGAGGTTGCCTTTGTTTGAGTTTTGAAGAAACTTCGTGACAAAGAAAATTCCTAAGCAAATTAGCATTAAACTATCTAGATGAATTGTTTTGCTCTAGCTTTTAATTTCCACATAGCTATATAATATGCATAAAAAATTTCCTAAGCAAATTAGCATTAAACTATCTAGATGAATTGTTTTGCTCTAGCTTTTAATTTCCACATAGCTATATAATATGCATAATTATTTATTTATTTAGTTTTCTCTCTTTTTATCATGGACAATGAATTGTAACCATTTCAGTGGCCCCAAGTCACCATTAGGCCATGAAATCAATTATTGGATATCCATCTTTTGTTAACTTGATTTAGATTTTGTGCTGTACGGACCTACATGTTTAAATATGATAGTGTTCACAACCAATGGAAAAAGAATGAGCTTAAGGTTAAGGATTCCAAGACCCTTCTCTTTGGTGACAAACCTGTCGCTGTCTTTGGTTCAAGGTATAAACTGGTTCTCTATCTTTATATTTCAATTTTTTAAAGATCACATCCTCTGATTATTGATTATAATTTCTTTGCTTGTTATTTAGAAACCCAGAGGAGATTCTGTGGGGTGAGGTTGGAGCTGAATATGTTGTTGAGTCCATGGGAGTTTTTACTGACAAGGACAAAGCTGCTGCACATTTGAAGGTTTGCCTTAATTTGCTGCTCTCTTAATATGCATTTTGGCTCATGCACACATACTTGAATGATATTGTTGATGAAATTCATCTGTATTGATGCATTTTGGCTCATGCACACGTTGAATTTGTTTTCATGTTTGGCTACATTGACCTTAGTTATTATTATTATATTCATAATCTAATCTTGTAATGGCTTCATATAATGGTGCTGTTTGATGTAGCTATTAAAACATATTATAGATTATAGCTTAACAGATTATAGATTATGACTTTAATCAGAAGCTATTAATCTGTTTGGTATAACTGTTGGATTATAGATTTAAGTTTCTGAGTAATGTTTGTTAAATAAGCTGTGAAGTAGCTTTTTCAATTAACTTTTATTTTTTATTATTCACTATTTGTCTACATTTCTCATAAAAAATAATAATAATATTTTATAGTCCATTTGGGTCTTTTTCTATTTTTAGAAAAAAAAAATAAAAAAATTTAAGAGTATAACCGTAAATTAACATGTCCACAGTAGAAGCTGATAATCAGAAGCAAGGGGTGAGCAGCTTCTCAGAATCAACTTTTTTGACTTAAAATAAGTTGTTAGAATCAGAAGTTGTTTGAAATAAGTTTAACCAAACAATTCAAAATAACTTTTTAAAAGCCAGAAGTCATAAGTTGGCTCAAAAAAGCCCTACCAAACACCCCCAATACTTGTTCTGGTGCAATCTCCCGCACATAAATCTGAATGTTCTTTGCATATTATGCTTAGTTGGACAGTGTTGAGGGTCATTTTTCAAATTTTATTTATTTATTTTGTTGGTTTGTTGACGTTAATCAGTATTGCCCCATTTTTTGTTTGATTACTTGGGTGGCGCAAAGAAGGTTGTCATTTCTGCTCCGAGTAAGGATGCTCCAATATTTGTTATGGGTGTCAATGAGAAGGAATACAAATCAGATATTGATATTGTTTCCAATGCTAGTTGCACTACCAACTGTCTTGCTCCATTGGCGAATGTTGCTTTGTACTTGGTTTCAGTTTATATCATAACAAAGGACTGGAATGCCTATCTTACGTTTCTTGCATATAAATTGCTACAGGTTATTAATGACAAATTTGGCATTGTCAAAGGCCTTATGACCACAGTGCATTCAATTACTCGTGCGAGTACTACTCATTGTCCTTTTTTCTTGAGATAAAGTGAACTTTTTTATCTTATTATTTCATGCCTTTCAGCAACACAAAAGACTGTTGATGGTCCATCAATGAAGGACTTGAGAGGTGAAAGAGCTGCCTCTTTTAACATTATCCCTAGCAGTACTGGAGCTGCCAAGGTATTTTGGTGTGAAGTGATGCTATTATTAGAATTCTTCATAATAATGATGCATTTCTATCACATTGACCTTATGGTGCTTCTACTCTTTAAGAAAGTTTTGCATTCGGACAAAAGAGAAATAGATTTAAAAGAAGCAAAATTGAGAAGCTTTTTCTGATAATTTTTTTTAGATGGTTCGGAAATGATAACAGAAAGATCAAAAACAAACAAAGAGCTAAAGAGGGCTAGACCCTCTCATACACGATACCCGACCATATCAGCCACAAGTAAAGGTCTAAGGGATTGTGGAGGGTCATCATACACCTCCAGGTCCACGGCTTGAGCAGCTCCTAAACGGGCAAGTTCATCAGCACATTTGTTCCCTTCACGATAGATGTGTGCAATGGCACATTCAGTGCGTTGGAGAAGTGCCTTGATGTCAAAGAGAAGAGCTCTAAATGGGTAGTGCTGAAGTTGTTCGTTTGGGGTGGAAATCTGGTTCACAGCCACTTGACAGTCTGTCTCTACTTGGATGTCTCTCCAACCTTTCTCCAGAATAATGGTGAGGCCTCGATAAATTGCCCACAGTTCTGCCTCTAGACTAGTAGCAGATTCCAGCTTTCTAGTGTAGCCTAACACCCACTGTCTTCTTTCATCTCGAAACAGACCACCAAAGCCTGCTTGACCTGGTTCATCTTTGGCACAGCCATCCGTATTTAATTTTAGTTTACCTGCATAAGGAGGCAACCAAGCAATTAGTTTGGGGACAGGGTGATCAGTGGCAAGGGGGAGACATAAAAGCTTCATGAATATTAGAGGCATATTGGAAGGCTTGGAAAATGCTATGAGAAGCATTACCATCCAAATTGGCAAACACTTTATTATTTCTATCCTTCTAGATTTGCCATAACAGAGCAGCAAACCAAGTCTTCCAAGGGATGCCTCTAAATTCTTGTTTGTTATCCTTAAGATTGGATACAATCCAATTCTCAAAGGTAGTAGATTCAGCCTCCCTTTGCCATTGATCATTTCTAACAATCTTCCAAATGTTCCTAGCATAAGTACAATCCCAAAAAAGATGGAGTAGATCTTCGCAATGCATATTGCAACGGGGACAAAAAACATTTTCCGTGAGTCTTCTAACAACCCTCATTTGATTTGTAAGCAATTTATTTTGCAAAATGAGCCAGAAAAACCCCTTAAGTTTTTGGGGCAACTTGAGTTTCTAGATCCATTTCCAACTTACTTCAGGGTTCCCAGCCTCAGTGATTAAATCATAAGTTGAGGTAGAAGTGAAAGAGCCAGTGGAAGTACCTACCCAGCAGGGTTTATCAGGTAAGTTAGTGAGTCTAGGCGGGAACACACTTTTAATGCTGGTAATATCCTGAGGGGTTAAAAAATTCTCAACACTACCAAGGTCCCAACTCAAGCTATTATCAAAAATGGCGGTGACAGTTGTGTCATCACAGTGATTTCCAGGAGAAGCGTCTGCCAGAGGTTGATTGCCACACCACCAATCTTTCCAAAGTGACACTATAGCTCCATCCCCAATGGTCCACTTAATACCTTTCCTAAGAACATCTTTACAATGAACAATACTTCTCTAAATATGTGAGCTACTCTGCTTGGTAGACCAAGTGAACAGGTTGTGATTTTGTAAATACTTACTTAAAAACTTTTGACAACCAATATTATACACAAATTTGTTGCGTTGAATTTTTAACTTTTAAAACCAAGTCCATAAGACCTTTAAGTCCTATCTTTCTTGGTAGCTCTTCCTTCGTAATCACTAATATTTGTTCATAAAATAGAAAGTTATTACACAGATGTGTGTAAATTAAATAAATAATAAAATAAAAATAATTCAGAAAATAATTATACAAATTATTTTCTGAATTAAATGCTTACAAAAATTAGTGTCGAAACTTGAGTTGAACACAATCTCCTTAAAGTAGATTTCGCCCTCACTCCAGTGTTTGCAAAGACAAGCAAACACAATATTAGTCCAGTTGGTAAGCCACAAGTTTGGAGACAAGCAACAAAATAGCAATCAACAAGCTAAAATTAAAGTAACAACAATTGAAAGGTTTTGCACAATGTAAAAGCGAAATGAACTTTTCATTACTCAAAAGAAGGCATTATAAAAGTTGAACAATGCACAAAAGTTGTCTTACCATAAACAAGGTTGGGGTAGTGGGCTTGGGTTGTTCATAGTGGGGCTATAGCCTTTATGGGCTTACCCATGTCAGGGCCCATCCCAAGTATCTCAAGTTAAGGTATATAAATCCATTTAAAACCTTAAG